TATATTCTTTTTTTTTTATTGTAAAGCACTTTGAGTCAACTTTGTGTTAAATATGCTCTATAAATAACGTTTCACTTGAATTGAATATAAACTACATTCGGTGGTAAAGGCCCTGTTCCTAAGGCCTCAGAGGAGCCTGTATAAATAATTCAGTAGACACACCCACAGATCATAATGAAGTAAAACATAAGCGTGCAGCTATGGATACGGTATGACGGTCATAAATTAATCACTTTGATTACATACAGCAGCAATCACATATGCATGAGAGCAAAGGGATTTAAAATGGGTCAGATTTCTGAGGCTACAGGGTGCACCGTGTAAAAGCAGTGTGAGTGTGAGTGTGTGTGTCTGTATTTAAGTAGGTACACCAGTGGATGTGAGCCTGTTTAAAACAACCCAGATACTGAGAACAGTAGGCCACTACAGACCACAAATACCCACTTGAACAACAGCATACGTTTGCTTATATGGCTTTTTCCAAGTTAAAGTGAGTGTGTAACAAAATATACAGTATCAAGCAGAATGTTGATGAGCCAAACTACAGCCTCCCATCTCAGTGAGATGAGATACATGACTCACAAACACTCATAAAGACTGTTACTGTGTACTTGAGCTGTCTGGTCTCAGGGGTAAAAGATGCATTGTATTCAAAACTATGATTTCTTCAAGGTGAAGACTGCTCTCTTTCAATCTGTCTTTCTCAACTCAGCATGATATTATTGGCAAGACTGTAAATATTAAATATTGACAAAGCTGAGGATGTATGTAAAAATAGAACAACATATTAATAGGAAACATAAGATAGACAACACAAGAACTTACGTGAACGACTGAAGTGTTTATGTTACAATAAAGGCCATCTGCATTACATAAGATGCCTCCATATACATGCAGACATACAGGGTCACCATGGTGAGCAAAAGCGAACAGAAAACATACTGGGATAATGCATATTTAGTCACAGTCTTTCAGACTGTGATGTGAAAACATATCTAGCAGCCAGTGCTGCTCTACATTGTATAGTTTTTGTGTTCAATGAACCTCTCAACTTCTTTTTTCTCATTCTAGTTCTCTTTCTCTCATCCTAGATCCTTCTCTTATTCCATCTCTCTCTATTCTATCTATAATGTGCGGTCACATTAACAAAACTTTGATGAAATTCCACAGACAAAAAAGGTTGACTGTACATCATTAAAACTGCATGAAGCACAGCTTACATAAAAGTCATTTTCAAACAAGCAGCTTTCTGTTTTTCAACCAACAACACAAACCCAATACGAAATCTGTGTGAGGAAATCTTTGGCCCTCACAAGAAATTCCAGATGTGGATTCCTACTGAAATTACTAGATTTTGCCCACAAAATTTCACAGAATAAAGGTAAATGTGACCTCAATTCAGCCCCCTCATCTCGGTCATTCTATTTCTCTCATTCTATCACTCCCTCTCTCATTTTCTTTCTTTCTCTCAAACGCTCTTTCAATTGATCTCTCAAGTTTTTTGCAGTTTCTTAATTTCTCTTTCTCTCATTCTGTCACAATCAGACACATTCCACTTAAGTAATTTCGCTTTCTTCCATAAAGAGAGAGAAGAAGCTTTATGAAGCAATTGATACAAATAAAAGGCTTGAAAGAGCAAATGGGAGTAAAAAAGAAAAAGAAGGAGAAGGAGAAAGATGAATGTGGAACGATTAGAGAGATCATTCAGGTCATCATTTAGAAAATCATTCAGGTCTCTGGCTGATAATGCAGAAACATAATGGAAATGAGCAAAGGTCAGCATGGAGATTTAAGTCTTTTTAGAGGTGTTTGTGTGAAGGGGGTTAAAGGCAGAGACTGACTTCATAGCATTAGCGATCTGTCTCTCTCATCTTCCCACATTCCCTTTTATTTCATTTAGTTCTTTATCTCTCTAGCCTTCTCTGTCTTTGTTCCTCATCTCATTCCTCTCTTCCATCCCTCCTTTTGCCCCCTCCATTTCATCAGCCGAGCAGTCTTAAGGACAGCAGGAAATCAATTCTGCCTGCAACACAGACCACCTCTGCAGAGGGCACTTATACACACGTCTGGTTTACTATCCTTGTGGGGACTCTCCATAGGCGTAATGGGTTTTATACTGTACAAACCGTATACTCTATCCCCTTACACTAACCATACACCTAAACCTACCCCTCACAAAAACTTTCTGCATTTTTACATTCTCCAAAAAACTAATTCTGTATGATTTATAAGCTTGTAAATTGAACCTCAATTTAATTCCTCATGGTGACACGAGTCCCCGTGAGTCGGTGTGTATTCAGGTTTAAGTCCCCACCGGGATAGAAAAACGTGTACACACACACACACACAAAACACTAAAAGTGCCACTGCAGATATTCAAACTTCAAACAAAAAGACTGGAGGAGAACCATAAATCTGGTATTTTTCACAGTTTAAGGGTTCATTTCATAAGAAATCACACATTTCCATTATTCTTCTGATATAAAATTGCTCAGAGTATTATGAAAATATACTGTAACTTTCATTTAAAATGGTCCAAAAATAAAAAATTTGAACCAACGATCACTCATTTTTACACATCAGGGCCATTCAGTGTTCAGAAACCTGGTCGTTCATCATGGTAAAGTAATCCGTTTGTTAAGCCTCCATGTAATGAATATTGTTTCCGGCCTCCACTCTGTTTAAATTGGGAATACTATCTCAACAGCCAGTTTTTGCACTTCATTTGTAGGACACATTTAAGGTAAGCTTGTAAAAACTCATGATGTACACTACAGTCTATGGGCTATGGCTGCACGATTTGGGGAAAAAATCTAATTACAATTTTTCTGGTTAAAATTGTGATTTGCAATTTAAAATGTGATTTTTTAAAAATGAATGAACAAAAAATAACAATATAATAATTAGATAAAAATGAATAATAAGATTAAATAAATAACAATACTAATTTTATTTCACAGAAAACTGCAGGGTTATTTTTTAACATGCAGGCAGCCTATAACTGTACATCATATGATACTGTTATGATAAACACCTTTGACAGTCATTTCTTTTTCAGGAGGTATGTAAAATCAAAAACCGAGTCCATGTCTTTAATATGAAATATGAGCCTTTTATGCATCCTGGTACACTCCTGAAGTACACTTCTATACATTGGAGAAAAACATGAATTATCATACATTTACTAAGAATTTCTTAAGAGGGAAGTATTATTTTTCCAATTTATGACCAAATAGGACTGAGAGCGCATTACTGAGCGCTAAATACATGCAATGTCTGTTTCATTCATACTGTAAGCCAGAGGGTGCCCTCGCACAGAAACTCCACATATGCCTCACAGAAGTAATGGAACTCATGAAGCTCCAGGAAATCCCCATATGGACAAAGGCATCCAGTTATCGCTGTTACTGAATAAAAAGAAGATAGAAACGCCTGAACTGATTAAACATGAAGACAGTAAACACATGACACGACACGGTTTATCGGTGTTCTTCGAGCCATCTTGGGTATTTACATCATAATTAAGTAAATTTATAAACCAGTGCTAATCTAGCCTTTATTACATTATAATATATATTTTTCTGCCTCTTTCTGACTGGCATAAAGTTGGTTTAACGTTGGACATTCAATATTCGCCAATTTAGGGACCGTCTCTAAAATTACATACGACATTGGTATACATGTTTCTAACTTCAATAGCATTTGAAGAGAATGACTTACAGTCACACAACCAACTGTAAAGTGTTCAAGTAGATGTAAACTATAATGAACACCTTTTAGAGTTTTGATATTTATTCAAATAAACTGTCAAAGCATATGTAAATATTGTTATTTTTATAAATATCAAAAATCTAAAAGGTGTGCATTAAGTTGACACCTACATTAACACTTTTGTGTCATTCTTCTTAAATGCTATTGAGCTTTAAATTATGGCATATTTTGTGTTTTTTAGCCCATTCGGTAGTGAAATACATAATATTTACATATGCTCTGACAGTTTATGCATTTCACCACTGAATGGGCTCAAACGCAAAATATGCCATAATTTAAAGCTCAAAAGCATTTGAAGAGAATCACTTAGTCATAAAACCAACTTTAAAATGTTCATGTACACGCCTTTTACATTTCACTACTGAATGGGCTCAAACACAAAATACTGTATGCCATAATAAGCCACATCAGAAAAGAAGCCACAGATAAGAAAATAAGAAGCCACAACAGATCAGAAAACAAAGTTATTTCAAACACTTGACTGAAGTTGTGGAGTAACATCATGTTGGAGTAACATCAAATGTTCTCTTTTGTTGGACAACAGGTTTATAAATGCTTCTCATTAAGTTTGGGAGGATGTTTGGCGTGTGTTGTTTTTCAGATGCACGTTATTAGCGACACAGTACTTGCAGAGATGAGCAGCATTTACTACTGACGCTGTGCATATATTTATTTAATGAAAAATCGCAGCCTTTGCGATTCACCAAATCACAATTTTGGTTTGATTTCGATAAACCTTCAGCCCTACTGTGGGCTCAAGGCATCCCAGACACCAATATTTTAATAGTTCAGAAAAGATGAATCACTGTCTGGCCATCAGAGATTTCAATATGGAGATGAACGTTTGAAACACGATATTTTGATAAAATTACGGCATATTGTGAATGTACATAACCAGCTGTTTGTCTTTGGGATCTGAGTGTGAGGACCCAGAAACTGTGATGTGTGACGTCAACCAAGTGGATCGGGGGGTAATAGAATAGATATTATCATTGGTAAACAGTAGAACTAATGATACAAGTAATGTGAACCTGTCATATTATAATGCAGCCTTTGCAAAGTGACTGTTAGTGAAAATTGTTTTTCATACAGTGTACTTAGATAGCAAAATAGACCATTTAATTCCAAGGGTCAGAGAAAAAGCGAGAAAAAAAAACCTAACAGTCATAACTAACATGATAACTAACTAGCACTTTTAAGTACAACTCAGGAAAAATAACAGTGTATAATTAATTTTCCCAGAATGCAATAACTGACTTAAATCTCCATAAGGCCATTACTGTGTGAGTCAGAGAGATGAGGTGAATGGAACTTAGGAGTACAATATATGTGAGGTATTGTGAAAAATCAAAGGCCGTCTATGATGGGGTAATTGGGAACAGGTCTTCGTGTTATACCTGAGCTAACTGTGAGAGAAGCATCTTGGCTGAAGCGCTTGCGGGCAGAGTTGAAGGCCACGCAGCGGTACAAGCCTTCGTCTTCTTTAGTGACCCGTAAAATCTGTAGCACCCCATTAGGAAGAGATATGTACCTGTGTGAGAGAGAAAGAGATTAGCATTAACATTTCTAAACCAACCGACAGCATCAATGTGTGTGTGCGTGTGTTTGTTTGTTGTTCTTCTAAACTGAAGCTACTTTTAAGCCTTTGGAGGTGAGCAATCTGCTATATATTCTGGCGCCAAGCATTAGTCAACTCAGAGCAACATATAAAGTGGCACTACACATAAACATGAACCATACTGCAGAAATAACATAGCGGGGGAGGAAAAATGGAAAGAATGGCAGAAAAAAAGAAGCATAGATGAGAGTTTAGTCTACAGATGTAGGAGAACAAACCAAGATGGCAGCATGCATCTTCAAAAGTCAATTCCTCTTTTTCACTCGCTCTTTCTCTCTCTCTGTTTGTGGTGGCGAGGTCAGGTTGCAGCACTAATATTCATTCCATAGTCATCTCTCTCCCCCAGAGACCACTTTCAAATCTCCTTTTCATTCAGGACAGATATTATACACCATTAATCTTTTAAACTCATCCCCAAGAGCAAGACACTCTGGCAGAAAGGCCACAAAGACCAAGGCTGGGTGAAATCTGTGAGTGTGAGCGGGTTAAAATCGGGTGCGTGTGACTCGCTATTGTAGAATTCATTGGTGCTGAGAGTTCAGCTGAGGACACATCCACACCAGAGCTACACCTCCAGCGGCACGGCACCGCCTCAGCTGCGCTCGGGATGTAAATGAGAGTGTGACTGCAGCAGCCGCCAGAACACGACAGCACGGCTAATGTGCAAGTGTGTTCTCATTAATATGGAGAGGGGCTGTGAATACAAAAGACACTTTTTACGGATACAAAAGGAAGCATCCGAAGCGGACAGGGAACAATCTCTGAGGCACATTTTCAAACAGTCTGTCTCGCTTTTTAAGTTGGATCTCATTTGTAATTCCACACTGTAAGAGGTCAGAGAATTCATGTGAAGATGCACTCATTTCTAATGATTGAAAGTGGTAAACAGATGGGTAAGAGTAAACACATCTGGCTAGCTGTCCGTGTCGAAGAGAGTCATTCAAAGTCCCCAGCAGAATGTAAAAGTTTATTTAATTAAAACATTTATATACACTACTGTTCAAAAGTTTGGGGTCAGTAAGATTTGAGATGTTTTTGAAAAAAAGTCTCTAATGTTTACCACAGACGCAGTTATTTGATCAAAATAATCAACAATATTGTGAAATCGTATTACAGTTCAAAATAACTTTTCTATTTGTTCATATTTTAAATCATAATTTATTCCTGTGATGGCAAAGCTGAATTGGCAAAGCCATCAGTGTCACATGATCCTTCAGAAATCATTCACATATGCTAATTTGGTGCTTGAGAAATATTTCTTATTATTATCTCTTTATTATTTATTATATATGTATCTTAATTATATATTTCTTATCAATATTATCTTATGGAAAACAGTTGTTCTGATTCACATTTTGTTTTAGAAACCATGATCGTTTTTTTAGGATTCACTGATGAATGGAAGGTTAAAAAACAGCATTTATTTGAAATAAAAAATGTTTTTGTAACAATAGTCTTTTTGTCACTTTTGATCGATTTAACATATCTTTACTAAATAAAAATATAAAATTTTAAAATCAACGTTGCACTGACCCCAAATTTTGAACAGCAGTGTAATTTTATTTTTTTTTGATTTTATAAACTAGTATTATGAATGACAGGACTACATGAACAAGCTTCACCCAAACTTTTCATACACCATTTTAGTTTAGAAGGGAGTCTCTCTTGGGTGTTTCCCAATCAGTGGGTGTTTATAACCGGACTGTATTAATACCAGACTGGATAAAATCATGAAGGTCCACCCCTAAACCTAGCCCCCAGTTAGTTGGAGCAAACTGGGTAAAAGCAGTTGAAAAAAGTCCACACTAGGGCTGCACGATAAATCGAAATGGAATCGAGATTGCGATTCGACAGAAGCTGCGATTGTCGTCATGCGTATCTTTCAGTGAAGCACTGTTCTGTGATCAGCAGTAAATCTCCATCCAAAGGCCAGAGGGCGCTCTCGCGCTGAAACTCCAAATACGCCTCGCAGAAGAAACCCAGAAAATGCCTATCGCTGCAGCTGAATAAACAGAAGTGTCTAATCAGAAGTGTTATCGGAGTTCTTATTATTATAATTATCATTAAAATAAAGTATATTTATAATGCAATGCCTTTATCACTGCTTAAATACTATGAAATATGTTGCGTGCCTTAAGCCCCGTTCACACCGATAACGATAACGTCAAAATGCGCATGACAATCGCATTCGATCACACATTAGGAAATGCCCGTAATTGATTAGGCAACACCCACTAGCCTACTGCAGAGATTTATACTTGGTTGAAGCAATGGCAAAGAGGCTAGTGTTTGTTGGGACCTGGGTTCAGGTTCAGCTTGGGTCATGTTTTAATCCAGTTCCCCCTCCATCTCCCCCCTCTGCTTTCCTGTTCATTATTCCATTATCCATTTTGTTATCCAATAAAAACAAAAAGGCAATAAACAAAATGTTTATGTTTATGTATATATATATATATATATATATACAAAACTCAATTTGATGACATTTGATGTACATCATTACACAGTTGCTACCATATGCGGAGAAATATTTCTATTTCTCAGTGGATTCCTCAACAGAAATTGACAGTGGACGATGAAATCTCTAAACGATGCAATCAGGAGACATTTTCATAAAATTCTCTGTACTTATTTGACATTTCAAAAGTCTTTCCTCTTCGCTTTGCACATTTTCCTAAGCATTATCTAACAGCACTAACAGTAGGAATAAAAAACGGATTTTTTGTACTATTTTTTTGTACAAAAAAAAAGACAACCTTCGATGAATAGCATTCATATACAAGGCAAAACAGACACAATTAACCGTTTTAATGAGTCCTAATAATATTATATGATATATGTGGCATGTGGCAAAAGACACCAAATATTGATTTAAAAAACCGCAATGCTTCCCAAGGATACCAGATTGGGATATATTATTATATATGTGCTTTATGCTACACACCTACATCTCTGTATGTGCAAGTGTTTTATGTGTGTGCTTAGATGTGTATGTGAGAGTGAGAGAAAGTTGTTCTTGTTATGGTCTTATTATAAAACAAAAAAGACACTCTCACTCTCCAGTTCAAGCATATGGCTGTGCAAGAGAGAAAAAAGGAGAATCAACAAAGAGAGACCGAGAATAAAATCAAATCAGGAGTTTGGCAAATGGAAAATATCCTAGACCTTGCAGGCAGCCATCTGCAAAAACAAAATCAGAACTCAACATAATGTACTATAAAGCAAGGCTATATTAGGACCATATATATTAATTGGAATTTAACATACAAAAAAGGGAATTAAATGCTAGAAGCTCTTTTTCTTAACCTTCCACCAACATCTCCACAGACTAGAGACCAGACAATATACTGAGACAATTTACATGAGCAAATGATTATATAATGTACTGGGAAACTCAAAGTTGCAAGGTAACGTAATGCTATCTACACAGTATATTCAGCAAACCTAGCTACATCCAGCAAAATGTAATCAAACATTATTGCCATGAGTGAATGAACAAGATCCATTGAAATGTTTGGGATGCACATATGATATTTATGCTTAAACAATATTTATAAATTGAATTTAATTCATTTTTTTCTTTGCATCAATCTTTACATGCCATGGACATATTACAGCTATTATTTAACAGTGTATTTCTTTACAATTTGTTCTATAACTTTGATACAATTTACACAAGAAAGTGCTAAATTTTCAAAACTCCAAACTCAGCTAGTTCATTGGAAACTCATCATTTTGCTTTCATTAAAGTTCCAAATCTGTCTTTTTACATAACCATTTCAAAACATAAGATTCCTGTGATATGGAATAAGAATATTTGGTTTAACAATTTAAGGAAAAAACAAATGAGGAAAAATCTTTCTAAAAGAGCTAACAAATTTCTAGCAAATCCATAATGCATGTAAATATCTTTCCAGTGTTATCAAATGTTATATAACACCATAACAAGGTTTTGTGCCAATTGGGACGGTACAGTATACTGTCAATACTTTATATGATTACTGTGCTGCATAGCTAGCAAGTGTCACACCCCTGTGGACTGTTGATTGTAGTTTCTCCCTCTGTGTCCTTATTTGGTTGTTCCTGTTCTCATTATTGGTTAATCACCTCATTGTGCTCACCTGTCTGCCCCTCGTTATCTGCCCTATATCAGTTCCTGTCTCTTGTATTCTAGTTTGTCGGTTATTGTGAATGTTACCCCGTGTGTGTGTGTGTTCTTGACCTGCCTGGATGTTACCTGTTGTGGATATTAAAGTGCTTATTGGAATTCTTGTCGTCTTCGTCAGCCCTGCCTGTTTCCACACACCGTGACCGTGACAGAATAACCGACCCAATAAGAAACGTATAGCGACGTGTTTCCCCTTGTTTGTTTTCCGGTTTTTGTCAGTTTTTATTTTTGTTATGGATGACCCTGCCGTCCTCGTCCTCCTGCTGGAGCAGGGGGATCGCTCTATCGAAGACCACACTACACACTTTGTGGCCCTCGCCAACCTCACGCACTACCCGGACAACTGCCTCTGCACATTCTATCAAGTTGGACTTAACGCCACCACACGAGCGCAGTTGTCCGGGGATGGTCCTCGAGAGAGCCTCGCCACTTTCATCGAGTGGGTGCTGGTGTCCTGCCAATCGAGACTCACCGTGGACATCGCGGAGGAGGACACCAACCCCACTCCGAACCCAGAGCCCAGTCAACTTCCACCCCACGGTGTGGAGTTGCCCGAGCCCACCGCAGACAGAGAGCCAGAGCCAGAGCCTGCCGCGGTCATTGAGCCATCGCCATCAGGAGCGACAGAGCGGATGATAGCCCCGGAGCCTGAGCCCCAAGTATCTGACCAGGTGCGAGAGCCGGCAGCACAAGCGACGGTGGAGACAGCTGTGGACATCGCGGGGGCTACGGAAAGCCCCGCCCA